CTACAAAAATGGTGAGGTGGGACGAACGGGCATGCGAAGTTTTCTCCGAGAGGCTTTGGCAGAGAAACGCGAGAAGCTTGAACTGGCTCGGATACATAAATCTCAGCGAAGAGATATTCAGCGCTACAGAGATATTCTCGAGGAGGAAATACGACTAGCCTACTTGGAGAAGCAGAGGGCCATTGAATTCAAGATGCAGGTGCTGGAATATAAAACAGAGCCATGGGAACGCGCCGAATTGGAGAAAATGGAAAGGATGATGTTTGACATCTTTTTGAGTAACTGCTCCTATATTGAATCCACCTCATGGGCGGACCCTACGACTGTCTTGCGGCAAATGGAGTCGCATGAGCGTGTTTCTATTGTGCGTGCATGGCAAACGGCGTTTGAGAAGGTATTTGAACCCAAGAAAAGTGATTTTCGGCTTGAAATAATGGCATGCAAGTTGCAACGGTTTTGGTGTCGTTATTCGGCGCGGAAGCGGCAGTTGTTTTTTGTAAATGAGTGCATGCAGCAGCTTCTGCGGGAAGAAGCACGGCGTCGCGCCGAGCTGGAACTGCTTGAGATGGAAGGGCGGGTGTGTGATGTGTTGAAGCCCATGGAGGGGTGTGCGCTGCTGCGGGGTTATTTGATAAATGATGTGCCTTTCTTTCTGGAACACATGTGTTTTGACATCTCCTTGGAAGTTGGGATTTTTGAAGACGAGTGGCGAGACCGCATGCTGCTCCTGTGGAGGATGCGGCACAGCGCATTTGAGAATGCGGCAGCGAGGGAAGAGGCTGCCGAGCGTGAGGAGATGGAAAGCTTTTACTTCTATGCCGGTGTAGAGCAACTGCAGCTTGTCGAGGACGAGAGTGCGCTCCGGGATGCATTATGGAACGAGCGCGTCTATTTTCTTCTTCGCATTTTAGTGAAGGCTGAGCGCGAGCTTCGTATTTTGATTCAAGTGGAGTTCTGCAAAGAAGTGGTTGAAGCGACGGAATGCAAAGCACGAAGGGATATCTACAAGGCAGAATACAGCACTCTTATGGAAATTCTTTTCGTGCAGCTGGCAAGCCCTATAGCTGCCAGCATTACTGAAGAGGAGGCGAGAGAGCGGGAGAGAATCATGGGACTGCTCGAAGAAAATAAATGTCCGTCGGCAGCAACACCGGATGAAAAAAATGGAGAACATATTTCGAACACCGAGACATCGCACACTGTGGATACAACCACTGACGCCATGGCCTGCACAGAGGGTGTCGCACCGGCCGCTGAGCAACCTATGGATCAATACCGCGAACTGGGAGAATTGGATGCAGCGGCCTTTGTATCAGTTGAGACCGGGCCAGATGCACAAACTGTCGAAACAGAGTCTGCTGAGTTGGATGACCTTCGTGATGAAAAGGTGGACGGTGTTGGGGATGTAGAGATGTAGCGTGTTTTTTTTTTTTGACTGTTGCCTTTGCTTTTACTTACCTCGTGTCTTTGTTGTTGTTGTTGTTGTTTAAAGAGGGATGTTGTTATAAATGTAAATGGTTTTATTCCTTTTTTTTTTTTGTATGACAGGTCGGTTCCTGTTTTGTTGTTGTTTCAGGAGCCGCAATGCGGGTGTGAAAGTCGAGGGGGTGGTAACTGAATAATGCCTTCTCCATGTTGGTGCAAGAGATGTATTGCAACGGCGGTGAATGAGTTGCGGTGTGGGCGTTTATGCGTGTCATCTTTTCTGCGGCAGGTCCGTTTGAGGGTCTTGGAGTTAAATTAAAAACCCAGTGAAGATGTGTTTGCCTTTTTTTTTTTTGATTTTACCTTTATTTTTTTTTTTATTTTTTTTTTGGGGGGACGGGGGGCATGGGTGCAAAACGCATGGCGTTCATCCACGCACGGGAGGGAAGAATTAGAGGCGAGTGCAGAAAAAGAAAAGAAAAAAAGTTTCATCGGACACCTCAGGCAGAGGAGGAAACAGGGAGGAGGAGGAGACAAACAAAGCCGGGGAGCTACCGCCCTCACCTTCCACTGACGTCACAGGCGCACATAAACCCACCCACGCAAGAGTTGTGTAGGAGGAAGCCCCGGCGACGAGCGAAGCACAAAACGACCTCTGCAGAAGGGGGAAAGCGAGAGGAAGAGAGCGATGAGTGACGGTGACGTGGTGGCCACCCTCATGGCCATGACGAGTTGCAGCGAGGAGGAGGCGGTCGGCTATCTTGCCAGCGCCAACTTTGATCTCGCGACCGCACACTCGCTGTACGTGGCGGAGCACGAACACCCGCCCGCGCGCCCGCCGGCACCACCACCACCGGCGCGGCAGGGCGCGTCTTCGCCGTCCGGGACGTCAGCCGCGGGTTCGCCGGGGTACACAACACCGCCGTATTTGATCAGCAGACTCGACGGTGGCGTTGGTGCCAGACAGGAGCCTTATTCAACCGCGTCGCTGGGACGACAGGGGCCCTTGCGTCCTTCCAATATGCGGTTTCCACCGCCGTTTGATGCGGATGCTGATCCAGACTCAGCGTTACCGTTTTTTGTGGCCCCTCCGTTTGTGCATCAGGGAGGCACATCCTTCTCACACTTCTGTGAGCGTGCGCTGGAATGTGATCGGTGGGTTTTATTAAGCTTGATTGGGGACGGCTTTTCAAGCGTTTGCGTCAACAGAGATGTCTGGCGCTATGAGGGAGCAAGTGGGACACTTGAAATGTTTTCAATCTACCAGATCAACGCATCTTCAGAGCGTGGCGAGCAACTGGCCCACGGATACCGCATTGATGTGTTGAGAGACCTCCCAACCCTGCTTATCATAAACCCCCTCACCACGATGAAGGAGTCACGGGTGCCATTAAACATGAAGGGTATAGCAATCGATGTCAGTGAGGTCAACGAGGCGTTACTTTCCTTTCTTGGAGAACGTGGGTCACCTTCACAATGGGAGGAAAGGAAACTCGCAACCCGCGGTACGGGTGCGGTTCCCTTTAAATGCTTTGGCTCACCAATTGTGGTTGAGGATGATGCTGATGACACGCCTGAAATTGTGTCATCGCAGCCCGCGAATGCGGCTACAGAACCACCGATAGAAGTGATTGACATCAGCCAATACCAGGTGGATGAGGGTGAGAAGCACGCCTTCTCTCTGCGCTGCCGGCTGCCGAAGGGACAGATGACATTGCGGCTTAAACCTGAGACCCCGGCGTACCTGTTATTGGAGTACTTGGCCTACCGCGCCTATCAGGATCAGCCAGAGGCATATCCACAGGGTGTTCCCAAGTGCTCGCTCAAGACAGGGTACCCACCCAGGGAGGTAAATGTTAAAAGTCGGGGGGTGCAGTTGGGGACATGGGAAGATGTGCACTCCGGGGACACTGTGTTTCTTCACATTCAGTGAGGTATCAGGCAAATCAAACAGCGGCAATAAGAACAAAGGGCGACCCGTAGAGACGCGAAATCGGGGGAAAAAACTATGAATTTTGAGACGTGGGTGCCATTTTTCTTTTATTTTCTTCCAATACCTCTTTGCCTTGTGATAATGGTGAGAAACAATCAGAAGACGTGGAGTGGAAGAGAGAAAAAAGGAGAAGGAAATAACAGGAAACGGGGAAGATTGAATTGGGAGGAGGAGGAGGGAAATTTGCATGTGAGAGGGGATGGATGAGAAATGAAAGGGGGGAGGGACATGAAGAGATTGTTTAGATTTGCTCATGGCTATGCGATTGACGTAATCGAATAAGAGTCGACCGCATAAACACAAATGTATGGTTGAATAGTTATGCATGAAACACTGTGTAGAGTGGGCGATGTGGATTTCATGTGATGCATGTTTTTTGGTTTCATTTTGTTTCTTGCTTGTCTTGTTGTCTTGTAGTGCTCTCGGCATTTTTTTTTTTCTCTCTTTACTGCGTTTTCTCTTTATCGGATTGTGGGCGTGCACTTGGAGCTCGCGCCCTTTTACGCCCGGCAAAAGATGCCGGAGGAGAAGGACCACGGCCGTCGGGAAAAGAAGGAGAGACATCACAGAAAACGCCATCGCAAGGACCACAAAGAGAAGGTTCCTCCTTCATTAGGCGACGCGGCAGAGGAGGAGGAGGACTGGGATGCCAACAGGGAGCGTCTTGAGCGCATCTGCCAGATTCCCCCAAACAACATCTGCAATGACTGCAACAACAATGGTACGCGCTGGGCGTCGGTGAACCACGGCGTGTTTTTGTGCATCCGTTGCTCCGGTATTCACCGCTCACTCGGGGTGCACGTTTCAAAGATCAAGTCAACGAACATGGACAAATGGCGGGCGACGGAGGTTGGACTGATGGAGGCTATCGGTAATCAGAGGGGCAAGTCGCTCTATGAGGCGCGTTTGCCGAGAGGTATGAAACCATTGACGGGGGCCGAGTCGGAATTGACACTGAAGACGTTTATCACGCAAAAGTATCAGGAAAAGGCGTTTGCGTTGGAAAATGTGAATGAGGTGCTGCGTCAGTATTACAAACAGACACGCTACGGGAAGCAGCCACGAAAACATGACACCAAAGCCTACAGAATGGTAAGGGAACAAGAGAACGCGGCTAAGGAGGGGAGTGCATCGCAGCAAGAGGACACGATGAAGGCGCTGTATGGCGTCAACGCCGAGGCCATATCTAAGAAGTCGAAAAAGACAAGGCCTGTCCACGGTATCTTTGGACTTGTCAATGTCCCGCCGGACGAGTACGATGAGCGACGACGAGAACTTCTGTCGCATTTCCGTACGGTTGAACCCTCGTCCACTACTGCTGCCATATGACATATTTTTTTTTTTTTTAGTGTTTTTTTTTTGCACACACACACACAAAAACAAGTATGTGAAGAGCTACGGAAGGATGGATGTCAGTGCGTGCCCTTTTTTTTTGTTTCTGTTTTTTTTTTTTTTCTCACGAAAGTGTGTGGCTTTTAGCAACCAAACAGCAAAGAGAAGAATATCGACTGACGAGGCGATCGAAGAGAAACTTCATTACCAGCAGCAATAGATAGAGGAAAGAAGGACACCAAACGGCACAATGCGCGTACTCAGTGGAGTAGAGTTGGAGGCGGTAAATCGTGTGGTGGAGCACCTGCGCTGCCATCCCGAGGATCTTCATCGCAATGAATTTCGGGAGTTACGGGAATACATGGCGTCGCTTGGTGCCTCTATTCCCCCACCTCCGGACACACCGGACGTTAGCGGGGTAAGGAAGGAGGCGAACTCGGACGACGAGGAGGAGTACGTGAGCGAGCCCGATTCGCAGCGCTGTGCATTGGAGCCTGTGTCCGATGATGACATCACAGCCTATGATGGCACCGATCCCACACCAGAGGATGAGGAGAGGGCAATGGGGCTCAAGGCGCAAGCGGCAGAGTTGGCGGCCGATGGGGATTTCGATAAGGCCATCGAGTTAATGGGACAAGCATTACGGATTGTGCCTGGTAAGGCGATGTACTGGGCCCAGCGTGCGAGCTACTTTCTGAAATGTACACAACCGGGCGCAGCTTTGCAGGATGCCAATCGAGCTCTGGACCTCAACCCCGAGAATGTGCGGGCACTGCGTGTTCGTGGCACCGTCAATCGTCGCCTGGGCAAATGGGAAGAGGCTCTGAAGGACCTGAGTGAGGCACAAGCCGTTGATTACGACGAGGGAATCGATGAGATACTGAGGTTTGTGCAGAAAAGGACGAACGACCGTCGCCAGTTCCAGCAACGTAAAAAGGAAGCCCAAAGGCTGCGGCAGGAGGCCCTTCGTCGCCAACGTGAACACGAACTACGTGAAGAAGAGATGAAGAGGGAACAGCAACAGCAGCGGGATCAGCAGCAGTCTGGTGCTGGTGACTTCCCTGGCGGTGCTGGCGGATTCCCTGGTGGATTCCCTGGCGGTGCTGGTGGTGGTGGTATGCAGTCCTTTATGGAGAGCCTGTTTCAGGACCAGGAGCTCGCGGAGGCAATGAAAGATCCGGAGGTGGCAGCAAAGCTTGCTACCCTTCGGAGCAACCCCATGGCTGCTCTGCAGATGATGGGTGACCCCAAGGTAGGCCCTCTGATTCAGAAGATGATGTCCAAGGCAATGGGTGGCAGCTCCCCGGGATCTTCTCCCTTTGGTGCTGGTGCTTCTGCTGGTGCAACCTCTCACGCGGATGCGCATCATAGTGATGAACTTGACTAAAAGTATGCGTGCGTGTGCAACAAGATCCGCGTTCTTTTATTATAAAAAAACTTTAATTTGTTTGTTTCTGTTTTTGTTCCGTGAATTATTTATTTATTTATTTAATTTTATTTTTTGAAGGCCACTTTTTGTAAAGGGACGGATTAGGATAAAAGTTGGACTTTTTGTGCGTCTGCAGCGAGTTGTTACATCCTTTTTTTTTTTTTTTTGTTTCTTTTGAACTCAAAGAAATTTTTGAAGGAAAACGGATGGTAGACTTCGTTGTATACATGCGTGCAATTAGCCGTGCTTACGGCAGGTAGTGAGTGTGAGTATGTTAGGGTTGGGGTTAGGTGGGGAGTAAAAAAGACGACGCACGCACAAGTAAATGTGGAACAGGAAAGGAAGAAAGAAAAAAAAGAAAAAAGGAAAGAAGAATGCACGTGAGAATTGCGTTGTTTGGAAGTTTTTTTTTTTTCATTGTTTGACTTTTCCTCCGCTCCTTTTCTCTCGATTTAATGATGTCTCCACACATTTGCTGGAGCCAATATTTGCAAATTAAGCGAAGCAAGGCGAAAACAAAAGACTGCAAGGGGATGCCGACACGCACTGCCTCCCGGGCGTCAAGAAGTGCTTCACGAGGGCAGAGACGGACAAAATCACCCGCTAAAGCGAACGGGCGCGTGAGCGGCAATGGCGCCAGCCTCACTGAAGAGGCGCTTACGGTGGAGGCGATCCTCGCCGGTAGGCCGAGCACAGCCAGCTGCAGGAGCTCCCCGTGGGGCATGTGGACTGCCATTGTCCTCCTGGAGGTGGTGGCTTTTGTCTGGTTGAAGTGGGCGATGGACATCTACGGCGTCTACCGCCTGGCAAGGTCGTAGATTGTCTCTTGCAGCGTCTCGCCCCGCACGCATGTCTTTTGTTCTGGTGTGTGTGTGTGAATGGGGAGCATGCAGGGGCAAACTAACTAACAAACAAACGGAAAGCGCACGAAAAGGCGGCGAAGAACGCGGGATGAAAAATTTTTGCCATTCACTGGAGTGGTGTCCGCGACGTGTCTTCCAGTGAGATGCGTGGGGAGTTTTAGAGCTCAGCATTGCTGTTTAGGACGCACTGGAGGGGGGGGGGGGGGTGCTCGACTGCGCCGGGGGATTCGGCACAAATTTAATCTCCGGCAGGTTTTTTGCACTCTTTCTTCCTTTTACTGTTTCGTTCGGCAGAAGATGAGGGCTAACTAGAGATGAGAAACAAAAAAAGAAAAAAGAAAAGAAAAGAGAAATATGAACCGTTGAGAGGTTGGAAGTGGCTTAAACAGCCGCTCTCCGCGCTGTAATTTGCACACTGTACTTCGTCGTGTTTTGTTGGTGTTGGTGAATGTCGTTGGCTGCTGTGTTTTTGTTGCCTTTTTTTAAAAGTTAAATTGCCTTTTCTTTTTGTGTTTTCTTTCCTGTCGTCTCTGTGCCTGCCGCGGCGGCTCTCTATTTTTTTAAACAGCGAAGGGTACGTGGCGCGGGGCGAGATGGAAAAGCCCTTTTACGGGCGGACTGGTGCGTTGGAGGACGCACGGCAGGGCCTTCCCGTGGCGGGGTCGCGTTTTGCTTCGGCTCGCCCGGGCAAGTGGTTTCCATCGTTGCTGACGGTGCCGCAGCGTGTGCTCCATGGCATTTTAGAGGGGGATGGTGTCGACTGCAGCATTTTTCGCTTTCTTGGAGTGGCGTGCGTTTACGAGGAGCTACGGAAACGGCACGCGGATGGCACACGCCATGGTGCCTTGCTTCGCGACGTCTTGAATTGGCACCAAGCATCATTTGACGAAGTGCGTGACTGTCGTTGCGCAGCCGCCGATGTTGCGGACGGTGTATTCCGGCCGTATTTGCCGGCGTACAACATATGCGTGCTGAAGGAGGGCCAGCTTTTGCTGTCACACGCTGCGGTCACACGCCGAGCGGTGACGCTTGTTGGCAGGGACCGAGAGGTGAACGACATCCTCACCGACCACACAAGTTGTTCCGCACAACATGCCGCGCTGGAGGTGCGATTTGTGTACGCCCACGCTGAGACGTTGGACCAGCAGATAACTGCGTGCATGGAAGGCAGGGAGATTGACTGGGGTTCAGCGCAGGACGTTGGCGAGCTCTGCGTTCGTGTGCGTGAGGCGATGGAGAAGTTAGGCGACGGGGAAGATGCGTGGCTGATGGAGCTGCAGGTGCTGGATCTCGGCTCGACGAACGGCACACGCCTCAACGGTGAGCGGCTCCGGCCTTTTGTTCCCACGACGCTCATTGAGGGTGACATTTTGACTTTTGGGTTTTCGACGAGGAGTTATGTTGTGGTGCGGCCGTAGCAGGGCTTTTCCTTCTCCCACCTTTTAACACTTATTTTTGGCGGCGCCTTTGACGGTGACTGAGACGCCGCATCGATTTTAACAAAAGACGCGTTGCACAGAAGTGATTGTCTTTTTATGCATTATTTCTCTTTTTTTGCTGCACCCCTTTCTTCTTCTCGCCGCTGCTGCTGCCGCCGCAGGGCGGGCCAAAGGAAAGAAAAAAAAATTAAGAAAAACCGCGACGTTGGCAGAACGCCTGACGAAAGATGCGTCTTTTTAATTTTTTTTTCGCGAACTCCATTTGCCTTTTTTTGAACCGGACAAAAATTCGATCCTCGGCCCTTCAAGAAGCTGCAGGACGCATGCAGCGTTGGCACATCCTGCCACATGCCAGCAAATTCCGCCGCGGCACTACTGCCTTTAACGATTAAAAAAGCCGCTGCGGTGGCGGAGGGACTTTGCGCTGCCCCACACGATCTCCACAAAAATACGAGTGGCCCTTGACATCATTATCACCGAGATGGAGGGGGATCTTGCCGCGAGGGATGCGCTATGAATTCTGCGAATCCACTTTGGCGGATGTCAATTTCCAACTTGAAGTTCCGTACGGAGCTGACAGCGAGTGGCGGCTTGGGCGGGAGTTGAAGAGCAGGATTTGTAGGCGTGCCGTTGCTTTGGGTGACGTCGTCACCGCTTAACACGGCGTTGTTGCTGAGAACGTCAATTACGTTCGTCCCGGACGCAGGGCCGCCCATTTGGAAGTTCGGGAGCGTTTGAAACGTGCACTTGGCACCGATAGACGTACGAGGTTTGGTCCTTTTTTTCTTTTACTTTTTGCTTCTGACGGCACGGCGACTCCCTGCGGGGTCTTTGGCGGTTTGTGTGTTGCGTGTCGCCTCGTATGGGGTTTATTTCTGTCGGTCTGCCGGAGTGCGGGGTGGCGAAGGCCCTGCACTTTTTTTCACATGTTTTTCGATTTTTCCTTGTGTGTTGTGTGCTCACGCGTTCTGTCTGCTCTTCCGCTTCTTTTCTCCCGCCCTCCTCCTTTTGGCCTCGTGACGGTGTCAAGTGCGCCGAACACCGCCAGCAGACCGCGATGCCGCTGTGGACGCATTTCGTTAATACCAAACCGGAGGTGGACGATAACGATTTGCCGCTGCCGAAGCACCGCATCTACGACGATGACGGCAACCTGAAGCCGGGCGAGACGACGCCGCCACGCAACTCCGTCAGCGTCACGATCGCAAAGTCAAAGGCCTCCGCGAAAAAGTCAACGCCGATGACGCCAAAAACGCGCGCAAAACTACTGAGAAGCGTTGGCGCATCGCCCACTGCGCCCCCACGGTCGAAAAAGGTATCCGCTGCCGCGGTGAATTCCCCGCCGCCCACAAAGCCCCGCAGCCGCACTCCGTCCCGCTCACCCTCAAACAGCTCCACTACACCGCAGCGTACAGGCACAGAAGAAAAGTCGGCGACGCCGCAGAAGTCAGCATCGAAGGACACAGCGCCCAAGCGATCGGCGACGCCGCGGAAGTCGACACCGAAGCGTGCTGCCGCTTCATTGACTAATGGCAAATCCCCCGCGAGGTCAAAAAAAAGAGGAAGTTCAAAGAAATCTGCGTCTCCGGCCAAAAGCCGTCCTTCTCAGTCCCCCGCAACCCGCAAGCCAGGGAGTCCGTCGAAGTCGTCGTCAAAGAAGGCGTCCGCATCGCCGCGAAAGCGCCGATCGAAGCGCTCGCGCTCCGCATCAGCGCAACCAGGTCAAAAGCCATCGCCGCGCTGGACCGTTGCTGCGCTAAGGTCTTACGCGAAGGAGAATAAAATCGACATTGTCCAGGAGAAAACGAAGGCGGAAATTCTGAACAAGATTGAGAGCCACAAGGCAGATTAGGCTGGCACTTGGAGGGGGAGGCAACGAGGTTGAGAAGCGGGAAGGCACTCCCCTTCCTTCACCCTTCCCCCGCCCAAAAAAAAAAAAAAAGAGATAGAATGCATTGGCTAACATCCGCTGTTGGCCACTCGGTGACAGGCTGTGGACAGTCAACTCCCGGAGACATATGTACGTGAAACAGTTATTATTATTATTATTATTATTATTTCCTTCTAGAGCAATTTATAGATGTGGGCAGGTGCCGGCGGCGAAGCGCGTTCCAAGCTCTAATATATGTTGCCCTGAGGTGTATATTATCTCTGCAATGATGGCCACACACACACGCTGTCATACAAACAGACTCACACCCACACATGGCAGGTATAAGGCCTTCATTTGAAAAAAAGAAAAGGAGAAGAAGAAGGAGGGAAGAGAAGGAGTGATAGAAACGTGCGAGGGAATGGAACGAAAAGAAGGAAAAAAAAAGAGCAAAAAATAATAGTAATGATGCTGCTGTATTCTTTTTTTGAAAATCTTTTTTTTTTTTTTCTGAATTGGCAGCGCATTTCTTTGTTTGAGGGGACTTTTGTTTTGGGATGCTGAGCTCTTTTTGTGTTAATTTTTTTTTTTTTTATGATTTTTTTTTTTTTTCGTTGTTGTTGCGTGGGCGTCCGTATGGACGGCAGCGGAAAACGAATGGATGATGTCTTCAATGATAATGGCCGAGAGGAATCACGAAAGCTTGTTGTTGTGAACTGCAGCCAGACACGGTATCATGTCGTGCGGGCGGCGGCTGTGGCGCTGGGGTGGTACGTGGAAGATGAGGGCCGCTGCCATGTTCCCGCCCGTTTCCATGGGGTGGCGCTGCGGAGAGATATGCAGGCGGTCATCAAACGGCTCTTATCACGGGGCCTGTCGTATGATGCAGGCAGCAGCCCGCAAATTCAGTGGCTGGACAAGAGTGTGATATCTTCACGTGTTGCTGCGTTGTTTTGCCGTCACCGTGTAAACCACTTTCCCGGTATGCATGTAGTTGCCCGTAAGGCGGTGCTGTTCAAGCGGCTTATGCGCATCCGACGACGGGTGAGGGCTTCTTCGCTTCTAGCCACATCTATGCGTGCATTTCCCTGGAGCTTCTCCGCGTCAACGGAGCTGCCCCAGCTGGAGCGGTTTTTCTGTGCTCGACAGGAGCAGCAGTCATCGGATGGCGAGCCTTTTTTTATCCTGAAGCCGAACAAGGGATGCCAGGGGAAGGGAATTATTTTGACACCCGAACCACTCGAGGCGCTCGAACGTCTGAAAGACAAGAGCAGGGATGAATGGCTTGTGCAGCTGTATGTGACGCCGCCACTTTGCATTGAGCGTAAGAAGTTTGACCTTCGTATTTATGTGCTTTTGACATCCGTAGTGGTTGGGCGACCCCCGCGCCTGCGGAGAGGGATTCCACAGACGTTGGGTGGCGAGACGCATGGCGGTCATGCGGGTCTTCTTGACGGTCTGCAGTTGTTTGTCCATCAAGATGGTCTTGTGCGTATCTGCGCGGAAGAGTATGCCAATCCCAATAGAAAGAATTGTGAGCGGGCGAGTGTGCACTTAACGAATTACGCCGTAAACAGGAGTGCAGAGGGGTTTTCTATGGGCTTTTTGAAAGAGACAGATGATGGCGGTGTGTGTGAGGGCAACAAACGGGACTTCAAGTTTCTGCAACATTACGTCAACGCACTGCCCGGCGAGGACCAAAGGGTGGAGTCAACTGCTGAAACTGCTGCCTTGTCTCGCTGGGAATGCCTGCTGCGCCGCATCGACATATGCATCATGTTGACTTTGCTCTCTGGCTTGGAGGAGCTGCAGCGGGAGTTCATCGGTACTGGTGCATCACGCGGCTCACGTAGTGATGGACGGAATTGCTTTGAACTCCTTGGATTTGACTTGATGCTGACCGAAGAGCTGGAGCCTGTCCTCATGGAGGTGAATCATTCCCCGTCTCTTTTCTGTGACTCGTCTTTTGACTTTGAGACGAAACGCCGCGTGGTGATGGACGTATTTCGGTTGCTGGAGCCGCACGTGCCATCCATCGAGGTGTGCGACGACGCGTCGTATGCGGCCCACCAGGCGATCCCGCACGCCTGCACCAGCGATGCGTCGGTTGGTTTTCGGCAGATTTCTCCGCAGCGTACTTTTGCTGACAGTGCTGGTGGTGCTGGTGGCCCGTGGTGTGAGGAGGAGATGCGCATGTTTGAGGAGATGCTGCAGCATGCCCGGATGAGTTGATGGTGACGCATTTGATTTCACTTAATTGCGCCCTCTTTTTTTAATTGCAACGACCCCCAACGATTTATTTATTTATTCTCTCACTTTTTTTTTCTTCTCTGTTTCTCTGACGGTTCCTCTTTCTTTCTTTTTTTTTCCTCCAGTGTCACCGCAACCAATTACGCCTGCCCACGTCCAAACACACACACACACACACACACACACACACACAAATTATAAACATAACTTGACCACGGCAACGACGGCAACGCGCGTGAGTATACACAGTCGCATCGAATACGCTTCAGCCATGACGGCATACCCTTTTCCGATCATTGATGTCTCTCCGCTCTATCAGAACACAGGAGCGGTGATGGAGGTCGCCAAGAAGATTGACGAGGCCTGTCGCACCTGGGGATTTTTTTACGTTGTTGGGCACCCTATTCCACGGGAGCGGTTTCAGGAACTGTCACGGATGGCGAGGAAATTCTTCTCGCTTCCACTCGAAGAAAAGTTGCAGATTGACATCAAAAAGAGCCGACATCATCGCGGTTATGGTGAGGTGAATGCAGAGCAGTTGGACCCCTCAGCGCCCAATGATCACAAGGAAACGTTTGACATGGGCTGCCACCTTCCGGAGGATCACCCGGACGTTGTTGCGGGTAAGCCTCTGCGGGGGCCGAACCGCCACCCCACTCAGCTGGAGGGCTGGAGGGAATTGATGGAGACTCACTACCGTGAAATGCAACATTTTGCCCTTGTTCTCCTGCGTGCCCTTGCTGTGGCTATTGGTATCGAGGAGGACTTCTTTGTCCCTCGCTTTGTTGAACCATTGAGCGTGTTTCGTATGATTCATTACCCCGCCCTTCCAAAGACGAAGGAAGGACGGCTAGTGTGTGGTGAGCATACCGACTATGGCATCATCACGTTGCTCTTCCAGGATACGAATGGAGGTTTGCAAGTGCGTGATTTGTCGGGTGAATGGATTGATGCCCCGCCGTTGGAGGGAAGCTTTGTCGTAAACATTGGGGACATGATGAACATGTGGAGCAACAACCGCTACCGCTCCACCCCGCATCGTGTTGTCAATCCCGGCGTCGATCGCATCTCCATGCCGTTTTTCTGTGAGCCCAATCCCAATGTTGTGATTAAATGCCTTGAAAACTGCCACTCCGCAGAGAATCCCGCAAAATACCCACCAGTCAAGGCCTCCGATTGGCTCCAGAAGCGCTTTGCGCAGACGTATGCGTACCGAAAGTCGATGCTGTGAGACATGGAAGTAGGGAGACGGGGCGGGGCGCAATCGCTTCCCTTTTTTGTGTACCTCCAAAGTCCAGCAATAAAAGAATGACTGTTGGTGTTTTTATTTTGTGTGCTTCTTTAGCCTTGGACGGTATTTTCTTTCATCTTTTTTTTCCTTTTTTTTTTCCCACATGATTTGTTTTTGTACGTGTTGATTTGCGCCACATTATTTTCTACTTTGCGTTTTTTTTCGTTGATTTTTTTTTTTTTTTTGTTGCAGCGCCCGCCGCAGGAGGCGGGGTGTGTGGGCGAGGAGGGAAAAAGGCGGGGAGACGTGCGGTCTGTCGGGGCTCGAAGGGGAAGTTGACAGCCGCTCCTTGCGATTTTACCGAAAAAAAATAAAAAATGGAGAACTTTGGTCCAATCTTTTTTTGTTGTTTTGTTTTTCTCCGTTGAGTGTTCTAAAACGAAGTATCTGCATCTTCGTGGATAGATGGATGTATGGATGGATAAATGTATACGATTGCTTTTTGATGGCCCGCGGGACGAATTGTGTGGCTCTGACTGTCTCTTGTAACTTTGCATGGCGGCGTCCTCCTCCTCCCTCCGTGTGCCGCTGCATAGACCGCGACGGGGGGCAAGTGTTGGGCCTTTTCTGTTGTCCTGAACCTTTTTTTTTGTTTGATTTCGGGGTGTTTACGGATGTGTCGACACCGGGAGTCATCGTGGGCACCCCGCTGGGTTGTTGAATTTATATTTATGCACGTGGGGACAAGGAGGATGCAGAGAAAATGGCGCAAATTTTTTTTTTTTTTTTTTTTTATATCATCTTCAAACTGGGGAAAAGTAAGGCACGTGATATTTCGGTGAATTTGTGTAGTTTTGTGGAAAATTTTTATTATTATTTTTTAAGTGGATGTCTTTTTTTTTTTTTTGTTGTTGTTTTTGTTCCTCAGCTCCTGCAATTTATTCCCCGTGCTCTGCGTGTTTATTTATTTATTCTGGCTGCATGCGTTGGCTACCGCACCTTTTTTTACCTTTCCCCTTGTTTTTTGGATGTGTCTTGTGCTGCGTGAAACTGCTGCGACTGTGTGAGGAGGCAGCGGGGGTTGTTGTTGCTGTCGCTGTTGGGATAAATCGTCTGACGGCCCCACTCATTTCATGCCCTCAAGCGCGGAAGATTTGCAGGAGCTCCTGCAGTACATGGCGCCCGGCAGCACTGTTGATGACATTGTCGGTGGAGGCGATAGCGATGAGGACGTGTCGACTTACGACATTGTGCAGGGGAAGCACGCGGCAACTTCACGGGTGGTGCTGGGGGCTGCACCCGGCAATAATGCACAGCGTGAGACGACATCCATAAGCAAAATGCAGCCAGCGCAGCACACCACTACCCATGCGAGCGTTCTTCGGCGAATACGTGTGGATGACTTTTATGCGGATGTCTCTTCTTTTGCAGGGGGGTCGGGTGGCGCGAGCGTGGCAAATCAGCGGGTGCTAAACGACCTACGGGAAATGACAATGTCAAATCGCCTCATGACCATGCAGTCTTCGAGGGAGGTGGACCGGTCAGAGCGTGCCACTGTGGAGAACGTCATGGATCCACGGACGCGTCTTATTCTCTACAAACTTGTCAACAGTGGCCAACTGAAGGAGATTAACGGCTGTGTGTCTACGGGAAAGGAGGCCAATGTTTACTACGCCATCGCAGGGGACGGGAGTGATGCGGCGGTGAAGGTGTTCAAGACGTCGATTCTTGTATTTAGGGACCGTGAAAAATACGTCTCTGGAGAGTTTCGCTTCCAGAGGTACTGCAAGAGCAACCCACGAAAGATGGTGCGAACATGGGCGGAGAAGGAGGCGCGTAACTTAAATCGGTTACAGGACGGTGGAGTGTTGGCGCCCGCCGTGAAGTTGTTACGCCAACATGTGCTCATCATGGAGTTTCTCGGCGAGGACGGCTGGCCCGCACCGCGGCTGAAGGACGTCCGCTTCCCATCAGCCAGCGCCCTCGACCGGTGTTATTTGGACATCTGCTGCACTTTACGGAAGATGTACGGCCGCTGCCGTCTTATCCACGGCGATCTGTCGGAGTACAACTTACTTTTTTATAGGGGCCACGTGGTGGTGATTGACGTGTCGCAGTCCGTGGAGAGCGATCACCCGCACGCGATGGATTTCTTACGGAGGGATATCGTGAACATGAACACCTTTTTCCGTGCAAGGGGCCACCAGCAGCTCTTCTCGCCGCAGGATTTGTACCACTTCATTACCGCCACACCCGCCCCACGCGGTTGGCAGCGCTGCGACGGCCCCGACAACGCCGAGGAAATCCGTCAGCACCTGCTGGAGCTCCGCGAGACTCGTGAGCGCGAGGGCGGTGTGTCGTCGGTGGGCGCGGAGCAGGCGAAGGTGGACGAGCAGGTGTTTTTGAACATCGCCGTTCCGCGCACGCTGGGCGATGTCGCGGACCACAAGGCGGTGAACTCGGAGATCGCCCCGTTCGTCGCCGAACTGACGGCGTCTCCCTCCTTGCAGAGGCCGCTCGACAGGCACGAGGGCGACGACGAGGCGGGGAGTGAAACCGATAGCCGAGACGAGGCCAGTGCCAACGGCAGCAGTCACAGTGGCGACCATGCGGGGGAGGGGGTGACGGAAAAAACGTCACGGCCGCGTCCCCGCACAATTGCCGAGATGACAAAAGAGGAGCGGAGGGAGTATCACAGGGCTGTGAAGGAGTCGAACCGCGAGCGTCGGGCAAACAAGAAGAAAAACAAGAATGGTAAGAAAAAGAAATAGTATTAACTGACACAAGAGAGGGGGAAAGAGAGAAGGAGAGAAAGCGGATCAATGAATGATCCTGCGTAGCGATTAAAATTTTATTTAAATAAGCTGAGGACACACATATTATACCAATTGTATAGTTAAGTTGTTGCGGGAGGCAACGCAGAAAAGGAGGCAAACGCCATGACTCTGGCGATGGCGACGATGATGCAAAAAATAAGAGCTAAAACATTTGCGGGTGATGGTTTGTACCGCATGGATAATTATATTTTACCCTTCTTTTTATCAGACCCGTAAAATGAATAATGACATATATGCATGCCTCTAATGTGTTGCATGCTTTTCACACATTTGTCTTTTTTTTATTTTTTATTTTTTTACTTTTTATTTACTTCTTGTGTTTGGGAAGAGCGATGTTGCGGTGCTCGGCACAATGCCTTTTATTCAGTAGGCTGGGACGCACAAAGCTCGGGGCTGAGGTGCTCATGAAGACACGCATTGAGATGCGGGAGGTGTCGAAATCAGAGAATCGTTTCATTCGCTTCTTTGCGCGGCGGCGGCCGATTGACTACTTGGCGCTGGAGGTTGACGGCCCCATCACAAAGGAGCTGCACCCGTCATTTCGCATCGTGAAGCACATATGTACCCTTCTACTTGTGGTTCCCGTCTTTGTGACGCTGGTGATGGGCAAACTATCGCCGACCTACTACGTGTTGGTGCCAACTGGATTTGTCACACTGGAGCAATTTGAGCGCATGTGGGAGTTCTCGCACTGGGCTGTTGTTCTCGTTGGCCAACTCTTATTTTTTGTCGTCTTCTACGATCTCTCCGTTTATGTGCGCTACCCCTTCTTTGCGTATGTGCTGGCGCCGTTGTACCGCCGGCTGGGTTGGCGGCGCTCGCGGCTGCAGTCGTCCTCCATGACACTCGACGAGTTGCAGCGGCGCCGGCCGCACGCGAGGCCTCTTGGCGTTCCGCTGGGTGAAGCGAAGAGGGGGTCACGTCAGGCGCAGCGCCCCGACCTGCACGGGAGTCGGGAGAAGGAAAAAAAGTAGTACCGGAGAGGAGGTGTGGCGTGTGCGTGTATTTGGCCTGAGTGGTGTAATTGTGCGCCATCGTTTTGCTTTTCTCCCTGACGGTGCGTGGGGGGGAAATAACAACAAACCAACCCCCCTTTTTTTCTCTCTTTTTTTTTTTTATCTCTCTCTCTCTCTTTTTGTGTGGCGTCATCCCCCCACTCTCTTACGGCAGCAGCAGTAGGACTATTCGTGGAGGAGAAAAGTCTTCCGGTGGCGGTGTTCCTCCGGTCTCAATCTTGTTAAAGGGACCGGGCGGAGATGAATTTTGCTCTGCCCACCGAGTACTATGTCGCCAAACAAAACGCGGCGGCGGCGGCGGCGGCCAGAACGAACGGCGAGAGACCGCCAAACCTCTACCATGCGTTTGAGGACTCGCAACAAATCCAGCAGTGGGGCACGGCGGTCCCGCAGCAGGCCCCTCAGGGCGTGGACGGGCAGCGGCAGGCGTACTACAATTATCCACAGCAACAGCAACAGCAACAGCAAGAGGTTTTGTATGCCCAGTATCCACAGCAGGCTATACCACCACAGCAACCACAAGCACGGGGATTGCCGCATGCCGCGCGAGGGGGACAACGCTCCCCTATACGTTCACCGACCTCTCAGTCGCGCTCCTACTTGAATGCGCAAACGCAACCCGCCGATAGTGTCTTATCCTGGGAAGTCCAGCTTGCCAGATCACATGAGAAAAGCAAATTTCTTGATCACCCCTCCATCCCAAGGTTTCTACATCCAAACTTGGTGGAGGACATGGCACGGGTGCCACAAACCATTCCGTATATTCTTCCCGTGAGCCGCACCACCATGCGGCCAACATTTCAAACCCTGCCAAGTACTTCACAGCTAGCCGACACACTGCAGCTGCCTCTGGGTATCACATTTCAGCCATTTGCTGAAACACAATTACCCGAAGTGGATCTTTCATCACTCGGAGGTAGGATGATTCGCTGTCGCAAGTGTTCTGCCTACATTAACCCATTTACCACGTTCTGTGAACAGGGGAGGCGCTGGCAATGCATTTTGTGTCGCCAATTGAATGAGGTTTTTCAGGATTACTTTTGCCCCATTGATCCACAGACAGGGCTGCGAACGGATGTGTTGCAACGGCCGGAGCTTACGTACTGCTCTGTGGACTTTTATCCAACTTCCGAATTTCTGCGTCGTCCACCGCAGCGTCCCGCATTTCTGCTTATGCTGGACTGTTCTTATCAGGCGATTGCTTCAGGGCAGCTACATGCCATTTGCCGTGGCGTTCTTTCTGCACTTGAAACGATGAAAAATGAGGATGCTCTTTACATGGGTGTCATTGGATTTGCCTCAACGGTGTATTTCTTTAACTTGGGGTCCGCTCTACAGGCCCCACGGGTTATAATCGCACCTGACGTTGTGCACGATGTATGTAACGTGGATGACAACTTTAAATTTGAGCCTATTGAACTTCCATGTGCTGTGAATGAACTTGTCGTTCACGTGAAGGATGCCTACCGTTTGTTGAAGGATCTCTTTGAAAAATTACCGGAGACATTTGCCACAACAAAAGACGTTGGATGTGCCTTTGGTCCGGCGCTGGCTGCTGCCATTTCGATGTTGGAGAACAGCGGCGGCAAAATTGTTGCGAGCATTGACGCCATGCCGTCCATTGGTGAGGGAAAACTGAAACCGCGTTTCGACATGGCAAAGTTGTCCAACCAGCCAAAGGAATACACCGTATGCTCGGCCGCAAATGAGTGGTACAAGCAGCGTGCTCTGGCGTGTTCGAATAGCAACATTTCTATTGATTTGCTTGTCAGCGGTGCCCAGGATGTGGATTTGACGACAATCGCTCCGTTGTCCCGCTTTACATCGGGCAGTATTTATCGCTCGACTCCACTCACCATCAACGGCATGCCGGAGCAGGTGCACCGTATTCTGACCCGTTACGTAGCGTTCGAGTCTATTTTGCGGGTGCGTACATCCAACGGGCTGGTTGTGCCTAACTTCTACGGCCATTGCCACGTACGGGAGCCGGACCTCCTGGCGCTCCCAGTGGGTGACGAAGATTCTTCATATTCGGTTCAGTTGCAGCTGGGGTCTGAGATTAAATCCGGTTTTGCATATATTCAAGTTGCCATTGTACACACAAATCGTTCACGCGAACGACGGATTCGTGTACACACATATCAGTTGAATGTCTCACCTTCTCTTAGCGCCGTGGTGAACTCTGCTGATTCTCTGGGAGTTACATGCTTTCTCAGTAAAATGGCTATTGATTTTGCCGTCAATGCACCCTTTCAGCAGGCGGAAAAGCGAGTAACGGACAAACTTGTTGCGACGCTGCGGGCAGCCAAGAAACACAATGATGGTTTGGGCTTACGGTATGGACATTTCATGCTGCCAGAATCGCTGCGATTTGTGCCGCAATTGTTGCACGGCTTTTTTAGGAATGCGGCGGTGGGGTTGTCTACCGCAACTCCCATTCTTCCCGATGAACGTGTGGCTTCCATGTCGATGGTCATGTCCACTGCGCCACACACAATGGTACCGTACTACACAGGGTGGTCATACGAGGTGTACTCCCCCCACGCCGCACCAGAGAATTTCCCTATGCCCATTTTTCCCACGCAAACGTACTTCAGGTCCGATGGCATTTTCCTTGTGCACGTAGGGTCCACGCTGGTACTGTGGTACGGGCGGAAGGCGGATGCTCACGTAGTGGAGGCATTTGGTCTCACACCGAGTGCAGAGGCGCCTCGTTCATCACAGCCACCCATTACGGAGGAGCAGCTTGCTGCGCTGCGTGGTCGTTTTGACGAACTCGTGTGGAATTTGCGCCGGGATATTCGGGGAGCCTTTACTGCGTCGTTGGAGGCGTGTCCGCAGGGGAACTCCGTATTTGAGCCCGCGCTAACGCGAATGATGACGGAAGACGAAGTGCGAACGCTTCCGAGCTACACGACATTCCTGCGTGACTTGTGGCAGAAGGTCTCGGTCACGGGTAAGTAAGGGTGCCGTTCGCAGGAGGCGAGAAGGGGGACGTGAGAGGACAGTGAGGTTGCTCGTGCAGGGGATTTTGGTTTGCTTCCTTTATGTTTTCTTCTTTTTCCGTTTTGATTAGGGGCCTCCGTTCCTGTCGTGGACGAGCGCCTAGGGGCCGACGGTGTCTCTGACGGGTGTGAGGCTAAAACGCTAAATAAAAACAATTATTAGAAAAGAAAAAAACAAACAAACAAAAAGAAACTGGGCAAACAAACAAAAAAAAAAGAAGGTTGATGGAAATTGTGCGTGCAGGCATGTGTGGATGAATGCGGCTACATGCATGCAGTATATACATACGTGATGTGTGTGTGTTTGTGTCTACACACAAGAGACCAATGCGGGCCCGAGGGAAAACGGCTGTAACAACCGGCCAAAGGAGGGGTGGGAAAAGAAGGCACATACACAGGCACTGGAAAAGGAAACAGTGAAGGGCGATGAAGCACATGCAAATGAGATTGTATGTATATATTTGATTTATAAAGGATGCCGCAAGAGAAGAAAAATGAAATGAACGGGAGCCCGTGGGGAGAAGGAAATAAATAAGGGAGTGAAGTGAGAGTGACGCGTGTACACTTTTGTGGGCGGGTGCGTGGGGGGATATCTTACGATGTACTCCCTTTTATTATTATTATTATTAATTATTATGTTATTCTTTCTCCATATGCTACTAAGCGTTTACATGTATGTATGCATGTCTGTATGTGTGACTGTGATCGTTGGTGGAATGTTCTTCTGTGCTTTTCTTTCCATGTCGTCATTGTTGGACGGACTTCTACTCGAGCGTCACGCAACACACCACACGGTGTAGTGAACAGGAGAAAACAAAACCAAAAACATATACAAGAAAAGAAAAAAAGAATAGAAGGGAATAGATGCAGCGCGTTTCTCTTGTATTGTTGCCGCTTCTACTGCTGTGGATGCTGCAGGCGACAAAGGGGGTTGCTGCGGAGTACGGCGAGCGTAGCGTAGCGAAGGGCAGCCGTGAGGAACAAATTGTGTTCTGGGAGAAGGAGATTGACAGGTTGCGCAACGGTGAACTTGCAAAGGCATACCAAACACTGTATACGACCCAAATGGCCTTAAATGAGGCGAGGCGTCATAGTGGATGGCTCTTCACGAGTAAAGATGTCCAGGCTCGCATTAAAGTGCTGGACGCGGAGTACGAGAAGAACATGGCGGCTGTAGTTCTCCTGAAACGGGAGGAAGAAATGATGCTGGCGAAACTGAAGCCGCTCCATGGCATCGTCTCGCGACGCTTTGCGCAAGAACAACGCAATGCCATTGTGGACGCTGTGAACCTGGTGCAGCAGGCAAGCTACGATCAGGCGTGGTACGGCTCTCTCTTTGACCTTGGTGATGCAGAGACGCTTACGGATATTATTGTGGGATTTCTTCTGCGTTGGCTGATAGGATATGTCCTCCTGTATCCCTTTGCTGCCATTTACTACGCCCTCTGGACGGCGCCGAGGAATATCTACGCTTACTCTTCTGGAACATCGGACATTCCCGTGGGAGTCGTAGCGTGGTGCGTGTCTGTTTCCGTTATGCTGCTCCCGGTAATGGCACTTGTGGGCGGTTTTTGGTACATTCGAAGGCATTACGGCGATCGCGTAACGGAGGCACTGCGGGCTGCCAGGGAACGTGAACGAGGACGACGTTAACGGAAATAATAATGATAAAAAAAAAACAACAACAACTAAAACCAAAAAAAAGAAAACAAGCCTGAGGGCGAAATTGTTGTGGGGGGAGCGGCAGCAACAAAATATTCTTATGTTTCATGCAGGAGCTGCTATGCATCGTGACGCGAATGGAGGCGGATGACGGGGGGAGGCGCCACGATTTTTACTTTCATTTTACCCTTTTCTTTTTTTTTTCTTTTGTTCCCTTCCGAAGGGAAACTGTTGACGCGTCTTTCTCTGTCGAGGCGTCTGTGAGCTCCCCTTCTTTGCGTGGCGAGGAGGGGGGGGCGGCTGGGGACATCCAGGGGGAAGGGAAGGAAGATGCGGTCCACTCGCGAACGATATGAGGAGCGAGACGAAAACAAAAGGGCGCAAATGATGTCTGACGGGGGCAGTGTGGAGGAAACACCTTCCACCTCGGGGCTGCTCGTCCCGCCCTCTCTCGCAGCTGTGCTGCGCCCACATCAGATTGACGCATTGCATTTTTTGTGGAGGAAACTTGTGGAAGAGGGCATACAACGCGTAATACAAGCGAGCCCGTTGGCGCCGTTGCCGGAGCGGGTACGTCTCTACCAGGAGGTTTTTGGCTGCATCGTTGGCCACTCGATGGGCCTCGGCAAGACCGTCACTATTTTGAGCTTTCTTATGCTGCTCCAGCAACATTACACTGTCAGCAGCAGGTCTGCACCGGCGTTACGTGCCATTGTGCTGACCCCTCGAAGTTGCACGTATCATTGGCAGTGCACCGCGAAAGAGTGGATGCTCCCTGCGCTGTTCAACGATACGCTTCTCCCCATTTACGTGCCACTGGGCTCCCGCGGGACTGAGGCGATGGTTCTGGATTTCTACCGCAAGGGCGGCATTCTTTTTCTGGGCTATGAAGAGTACCAGAAACTTCTTCGATGGGCGAAGGAGACCGCAACAAAGTCACAAGGTTACACACGCGTTAAATCGGTGTTTGACTATTTTCGTCCACCGCTGCCTCTGAGTGGCAAACTGTCCCTGCTGGAGGTGCTGGAAAGCCCGGACGTGGTGATTCTTGACGAGTCGCACCGGCTTAAACGGGTAAACTCAAAACTTGTGGGGGAGCTAATGGAACACCTGCGGGGGGTGCAGCTGCGGGTGGCGCTCACAGGGACTCCGCTGCAGAATCACTTGGAGGAATATAACGTCATGTATTCTGTCGTGACGGGGACTATGATGCAGTCGGGGTCCTTTCGTCGCCTTTTCACAATTCCCATCGAGCGAGGGCAGTGCGTGGACTCAACGTTTCAGCAGTTTCTGGAGATGCAGAAGTGTGTTGCGTCTTTGCGTCGATTCTTTGCGAAAACCATGCATCACTGCGGGCCGGAAGTTCTTGAGCAGGAGCTCCCACCACGGCGGGAGTACGTCATACTTGTTGGGCTGTCGCCGACTCAGGAAGCGGCGTATCGTGCCATGCTGAAGCATTACATCAAGGAAGAAAAAACCCGCATAATCCTCCCGCTTCATCACGAGGCCTCTCACGTCTGTTTTCATCCTTCATTGACCTCGAAGCGGTTGCGGGAGGCGACACACTCGTTTCGTGAAAGAGTTGTCTCCCATTTGTCGCTGAACAACGACGTGGATGACTGCAAAAATAATGGAGGACGGAGAAGTTTTTCCTTGACGTCATCGGATGAAGTCTCCTCACACGATTTCAATGACGCCGACATTGATTTGACCTTGGAGCACTTCAACGTGGCGGAGTCCCCGAAGCTTCTATTGACTGTTTCGCTTGTGTGGCACATAATCGAGGAGTTACACGAGAAGGTGGTACTTTTTTCCACATACAGGAGCCATTTATTTCTTTTGAAGCAACTGCTACGAAAACGAGGGCTGCTGGCGGACGTGATGCATGGAGGACTAGATGTAAAGGACCGTCAGCGCATCATCGAACGTTTTACAGAAGACGCATCTATTTCGGTTCTGTTGTGCTCTACAAAGGCCAGTGGTGTGGGCATTAATTTAGTTGCGGCGAATCACTGTATTTTGTTTGATGTCAGTTGGAATCCAGCGGATGATACACAGGCAACATACCGTCTTTACCGTTACGGCCAACAGCGGCCCGTGACAGTCTACCGAATCGCGACCGACGGGACGTTCGAACATGTTGTGTTCTTCTACGCTCTAAGCAAAACATGGCTTCATAAGAAGATAGTCGACGTGGCAGACCCCACACGGTATGAGCGCCACATGAAGGAGAACTTCTTCATTTACCCTTGTAGGGTGTCGATTGACTTTGAGCGAAGCGGAAATAGTGAGGAAAAACGCAGCCCACTTCCAAATAATGATGCGGTACAGAAAAATTGGCGAGAGTACGCCACTAGCCATTGCCCAGCTCTGGCACTAACGGAACCGGACGGAACATTTGCGTGGATACGCTCCATATCTGAACATTCCTTCTTGTTGCGTGACGATACGGACGAGGTGATTCGGGAAATGGGAAAGCGGTTCGAAACTCAGAAGCAGGGACTTAATTTGCCAATTGTCATGGAGACCACGCAGAACGAGGATCGACTTTTAGAGGACGTGCACCATTCATTACTGGAGCGATGCGAGGGGGCTTTACATGACTGTCTCTGCGACGGCGCAGCCCGCTTGCTGAGCACACTGCAGCGGCAGTCTGATGCCTTTGTGGAAGATAAAGCGATGGACTCAGTCGAAAGTGAGAAACTACTGTGCAGCCTATTTGCGACTCTCGTTGGTGTTGACGAGCCGGCGGAGGGATTAACAGAGATTTTTGCCGTGTTATTTCACCGTGGCGTGGAGGAGGTGATGCGGACTGTATTGAGTAGACCATCATACACCAATTTACGTGCGGCCTTTAGTAGCAGGCTGGTCGGCGGCAATTTGGCAAAAGACTCACTTTTGGACTCGCTGCGCTTTCGCCCTTACACTCTTTTCTCTCGCATGAAGCCTGTGGAGGCCACATACGTCTTGACAGAGATGGGGTTTGTCAGACCGTTTGTGCCACACTGCATTCTTATTGGTGTGTCTCTGGCGTTTCACGGGGTCAGGGGACCGAGGGGAGCGCTGCAGGCGTTGTGCCGCATATTTGCCTCTTCAGACGGCCGTGACGATGACGAGAAAACAACCGAGAGTCTGGCAGTGGAGGCAGAGAAGGCTGTGACACGCTGCATCGAGGGGATATGGCCGCCGTGTGAGGGGATGACAATTCCAGAGGCCCCTGCCGATCTGGAGGTGAGGCGCTGTCTCACGGAGAGGGCATACCGAACCGCAAGGGAGCGGACAAGTGGATTTTTCTCCCTGAAGGAGGCGGCAAAGTATCTCGGTCTTCGTGCCGTCCATGGGCGACGCGACTTGTACCACTGCAAACGCTGCTCGGATGGTCTGTTGGATCGCACGCCGCCGGACGCTGTACTGAGGTGCGGGCGCTGCCACTACAATGCGGAGTTTGATTTGCAAACATGCGTTGACACTCGTCACGCATGTGCTCTCTATCAGTTGTCCGTGCTTTTCGGACTCCTTGACGCCTTTTCCGTCTCGCGTAGTTTCACGACGGCGTTTGTCCCGAGTGCATGTCGTGATGTCCTTCAAGTCCTTCGGCAGCTGCGGCACTCGCATACGGTGGAAATGTCGAATAACTTTGTTTCCGACGCGGTAAGCATGGGGATCGACGTGCTTATATCGGGCCTCCCGGAGAAGACGGTTTCTCTGTTGTGCCTGCAGTGCGGCGTGACGGATATGACGGCTTTGAAGAGTTTCTTGGTGGCGGATTCGAGTCGTGTGTGGTCGGCAGTGCTACGGAGTCATGTTCGGCAGTTGGTGATGGATTGGTTCAAGGCAACGACGGCGATGGGCCCCAAGGCACAGGCGATGGCAATGCCCGAGATGACAGTGGTGCTCGCGTTGCAGTCTCTCGCGAGGAAATATGGCGGTGGCGGTGCATATGCCAAGGACCTCCTCTTGGGCTCCACGCAAGGCCAAGAGGCGTTGAAGTTGCGCTTCATCTGCGATGGGCTTGTGAAACTCATTTATGCCGAGCGGCTTCTGGCGAACCCACTCACTCGGGCAACCCTTGATGCCTTCATGGAGTACGCGACCCCCAGCGAAAGCAGTGACGGCAGCGGGAGTGAAAATAGCGGCCATAACAGCAGCGGAGGTAGAAGAAGCAGAAGAAGCAGCACCCGCGGAAGACGCAGGGGGGAATTTGAGAGTTGTAGTAACGCATCGTGTTCATCAAATTCTTTGAGTATTGCTTCTGTTTCCCGTCGTGTTTGTGCGAGGAAGCGACGGCGGCATACATCACAATCATCCTCTTCTTATTCCAATGCCTCTGTCGCATCGTCGTCATTCAGCTCGTGCTACTCCGATGATGATGACGGTGAAAAAACGGCTTCAGACTCGAAGAGTGTAGCTGAGCGTGCCCGTCGGGAACTGATAGAATCTGAGGAGGTGCTGCGTCTGCGGTCGGTGCAGTATTGGGCGGCTTACTGTGAGGTGTATGGCACGTGTAGCATAGAGTCACTGACAGTCATGGTGGAGGATGAAGAGAATGGAATGACTATTCTGCCGCCTCCCCCGAACAGCTTCTGGGTGAGTGAGATGAAGCGGGTAACACGAGAGGGCATGCGACTGGATAGCGTGGTGAACGAGTTTCTTGCAAAGATCATGACGTTGAGTACGGCAATGCGCGTTATCAAGTAACCCGTAAGGGCTTATAAAAGGGGAACCTATACCTTCATAAAAGGAATAATTGTAGGTGGTGATGAAAAGTGTTGATAAGGGGTGACCGGATTGCATTTGAGCTTGGTTTTTTTTTTCTTTCTTTGCGTGTTTGATTGTACTTTTGTGAGTTTTTGTTGTTGTTTTTTTATATGCATGAGTTGTCCGTGGAATCATTTACGTTGGATTACTACTAATTCTTTGTTTAATTGTTTTCTCCCACCCACCCTTTTATTATGTGCGGAGGGGGGTGCACGAAGAGGAGGTGCGGAGGAAGTCATGAGCACCTACGACGACTCGTTTGAGGGCAGCGACACGAGTTTATCGCCGTCGCCGCGATCGTCCTTGAGGGATGAATCCGACGCTGCCGTCATTCTGTCACAGCCATCTGCTTCTTCCGTGCCAATTCCGGTGCCCGTTGAGCAGGAGCTGCCGGAGGCGACAAATAGCCCAGTGCAGGCGCTGCCAGGCGACACGTTGGCGGACCGTGCCGACGCCGCCACTCCCACTCCTCCAGTTGCTAACACTGCCGCTGCTGCTGCTGTTGCCGATCCCCTTTTGGCGTCTCCTGCTTCGGTCAGCTCGCTTCCGCAGAGGGAGTTAAAAAGCCCCGTCGTGGGTGGTGCGGCGCCGGCATCGGCGGATAAGGCGTCCGTGGACACGAATTTGTCCCACATTGAGGTGAAGTTGGGTGGACTCAACGCACCCTCCACAGCAAAGTTTAAGGCGCTGTCGTCATACGTCGCATTTGGTGCCACCCCGCCGGGGTCAACGAGTGTTTTATCCGCCACAACCAACGAGACACGAAGAGAGACACAAAACAGTGTTGCCGCAGAAGTGAAAGAGAAGAAATTTCCGACGGAAACCCCGCCAGTTATTCTGTCTATAGCCTCAGAGACCGATGGCTCCTCTTCAAGACGAGAGAGCAGCGTTTTCAGTACGCTTTCACAACATCTCACGAAGAGGCAGTCACGAGAAGGAGAATCCAATTCCGAGAAGCTCCGGAAAGAGTCTGCGGCGACGGCCGTCGCTGCGACCCATCCTCTTGTGGACGAAAAGAAAGATGAGGGCGCAGATGGTGTTGGTCTTGCCATGGCACCGTTGCTATTGCCGCAAGCCGGTGAATCACAGATGCAGTCTAACGTCTCGATTTTATTTCCGGCGCCCTCCACAGACTTTCCAGGCGTGCAGTCTAATCCGTTTGGTGTGGAGGGTGCGCTTGCCAGTCTTCCACCGCCGCTTCCCTCCCGAGACCCGCGACAGGACCCCAAAATTGTGGAACTTCGCGAGACGTCGGAGGCGGTGGAGCGTCTGGTGCGGGCCTTCGCGCTCCTGCGTGGACACGTGGCCGCACCTTCTTCCGACCCTCTTGCCGATGCAAAGGTCTCTTACGCCACGAAGGACACAGAGAAGCTGTCGAGCCTTCGACTGCAGCGCGGTGTGGGGGATGCGGCCACATTGCGGGTATCCCAGTCAAGCAGTCGACGCCCTTTTTTGCCGCGGTCGAAGACCGTCGACGAATCTCGGGACGCAAATGAAAAAGCGGCTCTGCAGATGAGTGAGGCTGCCGTGGAGGAGGCCATCATGTGCCTCGTTATGGAGCTTATGCAGAGTGATGCGAGGCAACCTTTTGAAGAAAATACTGGTAGAAAGTTTATTCACCCATCCCTAGAATTTGTGGGTATGGACAACTTTAACTTGTTTCCCCCATCAAAGCAACGCAAATTTCCCCGGTTTTTACAGAAGATTGACACTCCTTTTTCTGTTTTTGATGGCGGGATGCAGACATTTGCCCCGGGGGATCCTGACGCCTCGGAGTCCTTGTTTCACAGCGTTTTTCAAGGATTACAGAAGTATGTATGGTCGCACGTAGCTGCGACGGATCGCCACACAACCAATCGCTTTCCACCTGTAAGTGCTCATTTTGCGTGGGCCCTACAGCTTGACTTGTTATTGGTATGCATGCAGACCCTTGAAAGTCGCTTTGCTGGAGAGCGTGCAGGCACAAAAGATGGCTCAACGGTGTGGATACAATACGAGGGTTCGCGCGAAGCGGAGCCACTGGCACGAAACGCTGCTCACTGCTTACCATTTGAGGTACTTGATGCGAAACAGCGTGATAAAACTGTGTTTCGCCTCGAGTATTGGGTGACAAAAGACAAGATGTGGACCGTTTTGGAGGCACTCGTCGCTTCCATTCGGGAGGGTATTGTTTCTCGCTCTGACGGCTACCGGGCCTTCTCCACTGATGAGGAGATACACATTGATCCCAGTGCGTTGCTCCCAACACGAGTTCCGCTCTTCTCATTAGTGCCACAGGAACGTTTAGGGGCGGCACACGATGATGAGAGAAATGGTATCCGAAAGGAGGCCGCACAAAAAGGACAAGAAGAATCGAGGAGCAATTTTTTTCACATACATCCAAACACAATGGAGTCACTTGCACATGCGGTATCAACAGCCGGCACGGAGCTTCTTGAGTCGGACCGTAGAACTTCCGGGAAGAACTATAGACAAAGTTACCACGATGCCACAACCGCCGTGGCAGAGGCTGTGTGTGAGCTTTTGGATGATGCGGGGATCCGCGCGGCTATACAGCGCCGTGCCAAGGCGAAGATTGCGGCGTTGTCCGAGCGGCGTGAAATGGACAACACTTTGAGCCGACAGGAGAAGGAGCGTTTTCTCATAGAGACTGCCGAAGCGGAGGCAGAGCGAGTGGTGCGGAGGATCCTGCATGAGATACGAGTCGATGAGGCTGGGGATGCATGACACTTGTTTTCTATATATTTTTTTCATGTGTTTGCTTCTTTTTTTTCTTTTTCTTTTTGTGCGTGTGTGTTTTTTGGTGTGTTCGTTTGATCCTCTCTTCTGGTGAGGATTCTTATGCGGGCATTGTGTGTGACTGGCGACGGGTGGTTGCCGTGCTGTGCGGGTGCGTGCCTCTTTCCACCAATTTGTTCAAGCGGCCATTTATACATCCTTCTCTCTCTGTGTGTGTATGTGCGTGTGGGTGCACGTGCCGTGGTGACAGGTACATTTTTCTCCCCGCTGGACGCTTAATCACAGCGAGACGTCAGACAGACAGACAGACAGAGAGAGAGAGAGAGGGAAAGAGAGAGACGCACATAGAAAAACATATATAAATTACCAGGGAAAGGGGTGGCTCTGTACATCACATAAAAACGTGTGTATCTTGCCGGCTTTTCTTATTGGGCTGTGGATCTGTGCGTGTGCGTGTGCGTTTCTGCGTGCCCGCTGAGAAGTTACCGCCCCAAGGCGTCAACGTCAGGAGTTGGGTGGGCGGGTGTGTTTGAGTGGTGGCAGAAGAGAAAAAATATACAAGCAAGGCAAAGAGGAAGAAAGCTGAAGAAACCCCCTCAAACAATTTTTCTTGTTAAGAACTCAACATCAACGAGAGCCAAAGAAGCAGTTGTTGTGCCCTAAAAGAAAAAAAAAAAGAAAATTAATAATAAAGCGAAAAAAAGAAAAGAACGAAGAAACAAGAACAAACGGGGTGGCAGGAGAAATAAAAAAAATCTTTCTTTTTATTGGGTGCCTTTTTTCACGCACGCAGTTTGATCTGCTCTCGGAGATTACCCGCTCGTATGGAAGACCACCGTGATAACGGGCCGCCCCCGCGAGACCGGGCGCGCCGCGGGCGCAGCAGTGACAGTAGTAGTAGTAGCAGCAGATCGACGCAGAGGTGGCGCCACAGGACGACACGTCATTGGCGGTCACGTTCTCGCCACCGCCACGCCTCTAGGAAGCGTCGCCGAAGCTCTTTTCGACGGAGCAGCAGCAGTAGGGAGAGTAGTTGCAGTAGTGATCGACGTGGGAGTAACAGCAGCAGTAGCAGAGGACGTCGCCGATCGCGTTCGCGGTGGCATCGCAATTCGGGCGGATCACGCAGAGGTGGGGCTGCGGCCGCCTTATTGAGCTCGGAGCCATTTAGTGTGCGGGCAGACCAGGGCTTGTTGGAGCGCCCAGAGGCGGATTGGGTGTGCGGGGTGTGCAGCAACCCCAACTCCGTGCGGCGGGAGGAGTGCTTTAGGTGCGGAACGCGCTTTGCGGTAAGCATCAACGCAACCCCGAGCGAGGAGATAAAGGTTTCAGGCCTGCCGGATAAAGTCGTATTTGTTGACATTCAGCGGGCACTTGAGGATCGTTTCACGGAGCACGGGGACACCTGCCGCATTGTTGCCTACACAATAGACACCAAAGTGAACAGAAAAGATAATGCGAAGGAGCAGGTGGCATACTTACTTTTTGACAGTGTGGCGGAAGCAGCCAAGGCACTGACGTACACCCGTTCTTTACTTGCCGTCGGCCAAACCATGTGCGCCATGGAATTTTCTTTGAAGCGACGTGCCAACAGGAAGCCAACGCCCACGAGAGGCGACACCGAAATGAAGACTGCCGTAAAACCGGTGGATGGCCTTCCGGACCATCTACAACCGGGTGTATGGAAGCCGGTAGAACGATTCTCTTCCCCAACGGAGGAAAAGGAATACCTGGACCTGCTGTCAAGACACTGGGAAAAATTGTCGCAAGGGCAGAAGGACTACTATGACGAGGGTGTTCGTAGAGCATTGGCGGCACAGCGCCGAAGGCAACAGCAAGGGAACGTCTCCACCGCAATGAAGGGAACGACCCCAAATGCTGAGTCCACGGTTGTCGTTCCGCCGAGTAACGGGTCATCACTTGAGAACATTAAAAAACGGCTGGCGGAGAAGAGACGGGCCGTGCAAGGCGGTGCGAGTGAGGGGCAAACTGCGAATGAGCACACGACGTCGGCTGCCTCCCTGAAGGAGCGGTTGGCTATGAAGAAGGCACAGCTGTCGTCGGTAGCGAAGCCCTCGAGCGTCACAGAGACGGAGACGGCCGCTGTGGCCGTGCCATCAGCCCAGACCCTCACGTCGCACAAAGACACCGCACCGACTCCCGTACATTTATTCTTTGGCTTTCCCATTCCATCACGCTTTCCCACCAAGACGGACTACCTGACGCATTCGAAGTCACCATCCTTTCGCGCCGGATTGATGTTCCGATATGTGCCACCCGCAGTGGCAGAGCGCATTGTGCCCCCATCGGCCCGACCGCCCCCAGCATGAGGCCAAATCCGGCGTCACGGTGATAAACAGAAACAACAAAAACAATAGAAGAGAAGGAATGCACGACGAAGAAAATTTGAGGTTTATGTGAACTGAGTTTTCTTTTTTTCTTATTGACGAGCAGGGGCGACAAAATGCAGCATTTGCTCTTTTTTTAAATTTTCTGAGCGGGGACATTTCCCTTTTCTTCTTATTTTTATTGTTTTTTTTCCCCAGTGGACTGACGTTCTTTTCTCCAGCGGGTATCGCGGAACGAAAAATAAAACAACGGGAATAATAACAAACAAGTCACACACACAAAACCGCAAAAAAAAAAAAAAAAACAAAACAAAACAAAACAAAGAGAATAAAAAACAAGAAATAAACAAATAAATATATAAAGAAAGCTCTCAAAATGACGTGCCGAAAGCACGTTGTCTGGGATGAGAGTAATCTTGAGGACAATGAGGAGTATCGCCGCCTGCACCCCGTGACCATGCGAATAACAGAACCGAAAACTCCCTACGAGTACGCTGAGTTTGATGAGGAGGGAAACTTTGATGACTACTCGGAGGCGACGGATGGAAATAATAAATCGGAGGATCAAGGTAGCAGCACATGGGACCCGCAGATAAATGCGCTTGCTCGAGAGTTGAAGGAGGAGTTCCTGAAGGATGTGAACAAGCAGGTCGCACCGATAAGTCCTTCAGGTCGCCCGATGCTGCTAGCCACCGTTACAAACGGCGAAGAGCTTGAGAGACAGCATGAGGAGAAGTTTAAAAGGATGCGCAGGGCGGTGTACGCGGACGAGGGGGCCAATTACAAGGCTTTGCTGGGCAAAAAGCATGATGGTGATGACGACGGGGAGGAGGAAGAGGAGGAGGAGGAGGAGGAGAAATGAAGGGAGGCCAGGGGAGGCTGAACCTAAGATATATATATATATATATATATACAATGCATTTATTTCTTTGCGAGTTGCTGGCTTGGGGTCGGGAGAAGTGACGGACATTGTGTGATATTGATTTTCATTTTGTTGGTGCTTCGCACCACTTGTTTCTTTGGAGGCAATACACCTGGATTCGGCGCTCATTGGTGGTTTCAGTAGCGACTCTCCTCCTCTTCGTTCTTTTTATTCTTTTATACTCATAGTCGTATGTTCCTTGTTTTGTTTGGGTTTATGTGCTTGTTGTTTGCCCTTTTCCCCAAGCGGTTTGAGGGGTACACGAATACGCCTGAGGAGAAATGGTTGAAGTGGGGGATGGAGAAAATGGGGGGCGAAAGCTGTCATATTCAGCGGTTTTGCTTTTTTTTTTTTCTTCTTTCCTTCCTGTTCTTCTTCTCCATATGTGCAGATTTGTTTTATATCTCTCCGTTGCGTTTTCATTGGTCTTAAACCCTTTGCCCAAACTTGGATTTTTGGTGCGGAAGATGAGGTTTTATTTGCCTTTTCTATTATTTATTATGCTTTTTTTCTGTTTCCTTTTTTTTCTTTTAAAATAACTCCAGCGCCATGTTGCCCTCTTTACGGCTATAATGAGGTGCGTCATATACTTGCAATTCTTTTTGGTGCTGATTTGGCGGGTACGAGGTGCCTGAGGAAGGCTTTGAGAGACACTGCTGTCTTTTTGCTGCCGCCGACCACCAGATTGTGCGTGGAGTTGCGATATGACGACGCGTGCAGCAGGTGGACAGAAAGTCGTCTGCGGAAACGGCAAGGATGTGAATTTTTGCTGCGCGAGAGGACGCAGTGGAGCTGGCAGCGCCAGCAGGGATGCCGTTCTCACGATGCTGCAGGATGATAAGCAAAGCGTTTGAACCTTGAGTATGGGCGTGAAGATTTGGAGGGTGCGGGGAGGCGTGTGAGGAGGAAAAGAGGATGAGGAGACGCTGCGGCGGGAGTGGCTTCCACGACCCACAGCGGACACGGAATTTAGCGGCAATAATTACCCCCTTCTTTTCCCGCGGAAACGATTATATGTTTTTCTCTCCGGCTCAATAATGTAATTCATCTGAGAGCTTCTTTTTGCCCCATTCCTTGTTTTTTTTTTTTTGTGGCTTTCCACAGGGGGATAGTGGTGTAGTGGTGGTGAAGATGGGGCTTAAACATATGGGCATTGCCTCCATGATTCTACTAAATGCCATATTCACTTCCTTTTACATGGATGTATTTATGAGGCAGCATATGCTGAGTGTTGAGCAAAATGGTGCCCGCGCTGTTAGCAAGAGAAATCGGCAGATCTTCTGGCAATTGGGGTTGGGCCAGCTAATATATGCCTTTTGGAGGGGCACACGGGATGTTTTTTTTGATTGGCGTGGGAATTTTTGTTTCTCTGCTTTTGCCTATTTAAAATTTTGGCGATTGTCACGCGTTGGTCCTACCTGGGCCGTATCATTTGTGCTGCTCTGGTTACCAATGCTTGTAACGTTTCTGTCTAGTGCGGTGCAGTTTACTCTATGGATGGCTCTATACGAGCATCTTTTGGTATGCTGCGAGTCAGCACTGCGCACATTGCCAAAGGGGGAGTTGGGACAGAATGATCGCGGTTTTGTCGCGTACCACATATTGAGTGGCGTGGGTGTGGGGACGGCGTATTACCTGAGCGAGTTGGGAGGAATGGAGCAGGAAGAGTTGTATGCATTTCGTTTATTCACAACGATATGCGGGCTTCTTGCGGCACTGCTACTTTATGCCTGTGGCCGCCAGCAGCGCAAAACGCTGAAAGGGCACGAGGGCGTGGAAGAAGGCAGCGCAGTGAATTCCGAAGAGTTTGCCCGGTTTGCACAACAGACCATGAATCGGTGCAGCATGAAAGCAACGATGTTTTTGTGGGCGCTACAGGGTTATAGTTCTATCTTTTCTACAGCATTCTTTAACATTTTTTTGGACATGAGTAGTAGCACGGTTTCTGTCTCTGTGCGGATCCTTTTTTTGCTTTTTACTTATGCAGCGCCACATGCAGTTGTTGCCGTTGCCGTTTTATTTTACAAGCTGGTGGGAAAGAAGAGTGTTGTCAGTGGTGTTCTGGCCACGAGAGCCGTTGTGGGCGTCCTTTTTCTCGCAGTTGCTGCGCAAGAGGCACAATGTTTTTTTCATTTTATGAATGCCAATTTTTCTTCGAGCATCTTTTTATTGCTGCTCTTTTTGAACCGTGTGCTGACAGACGCAATGGGGTACTTGCAAGAGTCTATCCTTTCTGACCTTGTGGATGAGGATACGGTCATATTCTCTCGTACGAATCCAACGACAGAGATGACACGGCGTCTGTTGGCAATGGTGTCGAAGCCGTCGGGGTATGTAGCATTGGCGGCGACATCTCTCATTTTTGCGTACATGGGCTGTAGTCATTCAAGTCGCCTTGAGGAGACTCCCGGTGCTGCGGTACTTGCTGGTGGGACGGCACTGTTGACATCGCTGCTGACGTTATGCGCATGGCAGCGCTATTACAATCTCGAGGGGAACCATCTGCAGTTTGTGCGGATGGCCTTACGTAGGCGCACCGACAAAGATGCACGATTGGTGTGAGTGCCATAGGAGGAGGAGAAGGAACTCTTTCTTTCCCTCTTGGAGGCAAAAAAGCAAAGAATGAAGGGCGGGGTGAAGTGGCGTTAACAATGACACGCGCGGAAGGATTTTACTTTATGCTTCCGAGATGCGTGTGTCGAGAGTCCGCAACAGGATAAGGCTGGGAAGGATTACGGTGTGTGTTGATGAACACCTCTTTCTCTTCCTGTGCATGGCGTGATTTTTGTCTCGAATGACACCGCAGTGGGGGGAGGCAGCGTGCGCAGTTCCTTTTTTCCCATTTTTTTCATTTTTTTTTGTTATTATCAAACTCACCCTCTTTTTATGCCCTTTTGATACGGATGGGCAGGGCGCTAAAAACTTCCACTTCGTGCGTTCGCAATGAGCCCGGCGATTGTGGTTTATGTTTTGCGTATTCGTTTTCTCACGGGTGTGTGCGTGTTGGATACGTGTCCTTGTGGGCGTGAAGGGGTGCCGGGCAAATTGGATCGGACTGCTTGTTTCTTATTTTGTCGCCTAGCCTCTCAGTGGGACTACGGGATTGAATGGACCTCATCTAGACACATGTACGTGTTGCTTTTTTTGTTGGCGTTGCCGGTTTTTCCACGGACGCTTCGTTGCTTCCGTTTTTTTTTTTTTTAAATTAATTTAGTCTTTATTTTTATTTATTATTATTTTTGGCTGACGGGAGAGGCGGTCTTTCCTGGGGGGGTTGTGTTGTGTCTTTTTGGTGGCCGGCGGTGCTTTGAATTCCTGTCTGTTGCAGAAGCAGCAGCGACAGAAGCGATGACTTCGAGGCCCGTCACCGGCATGCGGTTTCAGACGATACATGGCATGGGGGGCGGTCCGCTCGCCAGCACGATGTCGAGCAGCATGCGGCCAATCACTACTTCCGGCGGAGGCACCACGCTGGGGCGCATCCAGGCCCAGGTGCAGGATGGCAACTTCACCTCCACGGTGTACGGCTACATTCGTGACCACCAATACGACGAGGCGATTGAGATTCTGCTGCAGCAGCTAGAGGAGTTCCCGCGCAGCCGTGCCGCCATCTCCCTTATCGCATACTGTTACTATCATGTTGGTGACTTTGACGAGTCGGCGCGGATGTACCAGCAGTTGGTGAAGATATGCCCTAACGTGGAGGAGTACCGCGTATACCTTTGCCAGGCCCTCTACAAGGCGGGCGCGTACGCGGAGGCAAGTAAGTTGTGCAGCATGATTATATCCGAGCAGTACGAGATGCGGCTGATGAAGCTGCAGGCCTCCATTGCCTACGAGCAAGGGGAAATACCACAGACGAAATCGTTTCTTGAAAAATGCCCGGCGGAGGACCCTGATGTGATCATCTTGCAGGGTTGCGTCTTGTGCAACGAGGGCAACTATGAGGAGGCGCTGGAGAAGTTCCAGGAGGCACAGGCCGGGCTTGGGTTCAAGCCGGATCTCGCCTACAACATCGCACTCACGTACTACCGCATGCAGCAGTACGGGCCGTCCCTGAAGCACATCGCGGAGATCATCGAGCGGGGCATTCATGAACACCCGGAGCTAAACATTGGCAGCAACACGGAGGGAAACGAGGCCCGGTCGGTGGGGAACACCCAACTTCTGAAGGAGACGGCTCTCGTGGAGGCGTTTAATCTCAAGACGGCGATAGAGTTCATGATGAAAAATGTCCAGGCGGCGAAAGAAGCCCTTACGGACATGCCGCCACGCCTGCAGGAGGAGTTGGATCCCGTCACACTCCACAACACCGCCCTTGTGAACATGCCGGAGGACCCATCCAGCGGCTTCAGCAAACTGAACTTTTTGCTGCAGAACCCGCCATTCCCCCCAGAGACGTTTCAAAACCTGTTGCTCTTCTACTGCAAGTACCAATACTTTGATCTGGCGGCGGACGTCCTCGCGGAGAACCCACACCTCAGCTGGAAGTATCTTTCCCAGAAGAATCAGTCTCTTTACGACTTTCTTGACGGACTCATTACGGCGCAGACGTCACCCGCCGAGGCGTACCGGAAGTTTGACATCTTAGCGCAGCACCACATTGACCTGCTTCGCAAGCTTACCAAGAAGCTTCAAGATGCAAAACAAAGCCATGATAAGGAGAGTCTTCGCACGGCACTGCGGAACTACGATGACGCCTTGGAGGAATACATTCCGGTCCTCATGGCACAGGCAAATATATACTGGGAAATTGAAAACTACCCCATGGTGGAACGACTTTTTCGTCAATCGGCAGAATTTTGCTCAGAGCATGAAATCTGGAAACTCAACGTTGCCCACGTCTTTTTTATGCAGGAGACGAAGTTCCGTGAATCAATTCGTTACTACGAGCCTGTGGTGGAGGCAAGCCAAGAAAATCTTCTAAACTGCAGCGCTATTGTACTTGCCAACCTCTGTGTGGCGTACATCATGACTGCCCTGAACGATAAGGCGGAGGAGATCATGCGTCGCATTGAGCGTGAAGAGGAAAAACTGACATACGCAGATCCCGACAAGCAGCCGCTTCATCTGTGCATTGTGAATCTTGTCATTGGCACACTGTACTGCTCGAAAGGAAACTTTGAATTCGGCATTTCACGTGTTATCAAGTCACTGGAGCCGTACCATCGCAAGATTATGACAGATACCTGGTTTTACGCCAAGCGGTGCTTCCTGGCACTTGCGATGCATCTTGCGAAGCACATGGTAGTGCTCAAGGACTCCACATTTGAAGAGATCCTGACTTTTTTTGATCAGGCCGATCAATATGGCGAGAAAATCCCTGCCTTTGTGCACCCCGACCCCACCAAACAGGACACATCCACTAGAAACACCGTCCGCTGGGAGGCGCGGCAGCTCAAACACCTCTACCTTCAGCTTGCCGAGTAAACAAATGAAAATTCTCGCCTTGATGGGTTGGACGCCCACCCGGCTGACGCCGTCGATGACGATGTAAACTTGCTAGTTGGGAGAACAACGCAAAATACAAAGGAGCCGGTGGAAGTGAGAACAGCGGCAATACTTAGAAGAAAAAGAAAAAGCAGGAACAGAAAGAAGAGAGAACGGTTGGAACGACAACCTCGTTGCCTGCTATTGCGTCTTTACGGATGGGTCAGGAGAGAGTGGAGAGTGTCTGTTTGTGTTTTTTTTTTTTTTTTTTCTACTTCCGTTTTTTTTCTCTTTATTATGATGGGATGGAGATAGAGATAGAGGGAGGGGTAATTGGGTGCGTTAACGTGCCGGGTGATATATATATATACATATACTCCAGCATGAAGGTAAAGATATTAGACTGCAAGAAACATGAGCACTCGGCGGGGGAGACGCTGGAATTTCAGCTGGCTGAAGTGGACAACTCATTTGCCAATGGTTTGCGCCGGGTGATGCTTGCGGAGGTTCCAGTGCTAGGGATTGAGTCGGTAACAATAATCCAGAACACGTCTGTTCTTCCCGACGAAATGATTGCACATCGGATCGGTCTTGTTCCACTCTATTCCATGAAGGCAAGGCGGATGCAGTACGCCCGTGATTGCCTGTGCGGCGGCAGCGGATGTGGGGAGTGCCAAATCAACGGAGAGCTTAAGGTGTCCTGCCCCTCGAACAAGCACAGTCTGCAGGTATTCATGGATTCCCTGAAGATCGACGATGAGGAGGTGTACCCGGTGAGCTCTGAGGAGCATGGCGTATGGCTGCTCACGCTCGGACGCTCACAGGAGTTGAACCTTCGCGTGGTGATTCGGAAGAACATTGCGAAAACGCATGCCAAATTTATGCCGGTGGCAACCGTGGCAATGCGCTATGCGTCCGATATTGTATTGAACCCGGACGGTTTCGCAAAACTAGACACAGAACACAGGCGTCAGTGGGTGGAGCGGTGTCCTCGTCAGGTGTTTCGTTACGACGACAGAACAGGTCAAGTGTTGCTTGCGGACCCTGACGCTTGCATCTTTTGTCGTGAGTGTCTTCTGAAGGAGCCGCCTTTTAATAAGCTGGCGGAGCCTCTTGTTTTTGTGCGCCACAAGAAGGACAAGCGCGGATACCATGACTTCACATTTACAGTGGAGTCCACGGGTGCGCTGCCGGTGCTGCAGATCCTTTACGACGCTGTTGAGGTGTTGCGCCGTAAACTTGAGCGGGTGCGGGACGGTCTCACCGAAAACCCCAACGCGGATGAGATGGTGCAGACGAGGCCCATTGGCGGTGCTCCAACGGCGCCCGTGGTGGTGAACGAAGACATTTTGGAGCGGGATGGGGCTGAGGATAATCTCACGTTTGTGATGAACTGATGGCGGCACATCACCGTCGCTATAATTACGGCTATTATTTCCTCCTATTGTTTTTTTTCTACACGATATATATATTTCTTTCCCGTTGTTGTTGGGGTTTTTTTACCCAGCAGCCGCGAGACACTTCTTCTCATTTCTTCTTTGTGGTGGTTGTGTGTGTTTGCCATCCCTTTCACTGAGATCCTTTTTTTCTCCACTTTTTTATTTGTTTTGCGGAGGTTGCGGATTTCCCGATTGGGTTTTCTCTTTTATTTTCTTTTTGAGCCTTCGTTTGTGCCTGCTGGCCGCTCGCGGTTGTTCGCTCCCCTCGCCGCACATCTCTTCTGGACGCGCTGCCGATATGAGGCCGTCGCCGCCACAGCCAGCGGGTGCGCGGCATCCGAATGCTCGCCTTCCGCGTATTGCCCCCGTGAATCGTCCGGCCATCACGCAGGAGGGCATCGCGCGCATGTTGGAAACGGGGAAGCTGTCGGCGGATGTTGATCTTGAGAAGCTCCTCATCAATGACAAGTCCTTCACGACGAGGAAGATGAAAGTACATCCTTACGACGCGCGGCTGGTCCCGGCGGTGATGACGAACCTCTCGCCGTATAATAAAATGAACGGCTTTGTGCTGGACGTTGCGGATATCAAGAAGGTACCTGGCAAGCTCAACCTGAAGGATCTTAAGGAGTGGGAGTCCGGCGAGCGGGATCACTCAGATGTCCCTTATACCCCCGACTTTTCTTTACGTTCTCGGTCTTCCCAGACACAGTTGGCATCACCCAAGCGGGAGGACACAAGGACCTACGCGGAGTTGCTAGATGTCTATTCAATGCATGAGTTTATTATTCGAAAGGGTGCAACTCTTAGAAGTACGCCTGAGTTTGCGTCTTTTAAACGACGCTACGCCGCATCTTGGGGCAATGTGGAGCTGGTTATACGACGACTAGAAGAGTTTCTTAAGAGTTACGGTATAGAGCTTGCATATGTGGACGGTAGAAAGGTTGTTGCATTGGCCACATTCCAAATTGACGATCTTCTTTCTCGAGAGGAGATGTTGCAGTGTTTTGCAAATCGTGAGGAGCTGGAGCCTCTCACTAGCAGCGTGACCCAGCAATTTGCGTCTGGTGTTGACGGTCGTCAGCTTGCGGCGCGGAAGATTCAGGCGACGTGGCGCATGTACTCCCAACGCATTGCCTACCGCCACCTACTTGTGGGCACACAGGCGGCCATTGCCATTCAACGCAGGTGGGCACTTTATAGGTCGCATTCTCTCACGAGGAAGACAATAAAGACGCAGAAGGAAGCACGTCTGCTTAGTTGGAAGAGGACGATGGAGGAGTTTACCAAAAGTTGGCCGAAAATAAAGGAGGGACGCCGCACAATTGTTCACTTGCCTTCCCTGTCATACCCGCGTTTCCACGCAAAACATGTTCCTTTTTACTTTGCGTTGCAGATGGGGCAATTGACGCGAGTAGCCGATCTACGGGATCCATTAGTGGATGTGGTTATGGTTGCGCCGTTTCGACCGGAACCGGAGGTACTGGAGTATTATTTTACGCTTCTGGAGGACTCGGGAGTAGTGAATCCGCGAGGGCGACTGACACTGTTGGTTCCAGAGGATGCCAAGCGACTGCCCTCTGTTCTCAGCCTTACACGACTGCTGCTGCTTAGCTCGCGCCTTATGAAGTGTCTATCATCGCTCTGCAAGAACCGACCTGCGTACCTCGTTCCAGGTGTTATTGGGGCCGAGGAGCTGTCGCTTGCTATTGAGTTAAACCTTCCTATGCTTAGTGCGGATCCCACCATTGCGCAGGCCATTAGTAGCAAAACGGGTACCCAACGCTTGATAGAGTTAGCGGAGCTTCCCAAGCCAGTTGGTATCTACGGCTTGCGTGACCGGCGTGAACTCCTTTCTGCATTGGCATCCCTAATGACAGAGCATAAGGAAGTTAACAGGTGGCTTGTGAAGCTGGAAACCGAGTCGTGTAGCCGGGGTCATGCGTACTTTGATGTGAACCGTATTCGCGTGCTGAAGAGTAGTGACGAGTCGAGTAAGACTTACGATGGTGTTCTGGCGGAATTAATGGAATACGCCGGGAAGAGGGCACGGTTGGTTCACCCCAACAGTTACCCAGACTGGGAGGCATACGCAGCGATGTTTGATGTCGTTGGTGGGTGTGTGGAGGCTGTGCCAAACCGAATAAGGACATCATTGACGGCCAATCTCTTTATTGAACCGACGGGTGTGGTGAGCCTGCACTCCGTGGTGGAGCCCATGTTAGCCCCCGCATTCACCGTTATGGGTTGTCGCTTTCCGTTTCAAAACTTTGTGCCATATGCGGCAGTTCGTGACGCCGCTCTTTGCGTTGGCAAAGCTGCATTTCGGAGACGCGTCATGGGTTATATATCCGTTGACTTTGTGTTGCAGGAAGCGGGCGATGGGGTTGCAGCGGAGCTCTACGTTGTGGACGTGGATCTCTGCCTTACCAACAATGCCGCTGCACATCTTTTTGCCTGTTTGGTAACGGGTAGCGTCTATGACGTGGAGACGGGCAGCTGTGCAAACTCGAACAAAAATGAAAGTCTGGCTTATGCGTATAGCGGCATAATTCACAGTCCCTTTCTCTCAGCGGTGCGACATCGAACATTTTTTTCACTTTGCCGCTCAAGAGGACTTTCTTTTGACCGATACCGCCGTATCGGTCTTGTATTTCACATGGTGGACGTTTTGCTTTGCGGCTGCCTTGGCGTGCTCTCTGTCGGTACGACGAGGAGCCACGTGACGCGGGCGATGAAAGAGTTCCAGAACTTGCTGAACCTCGAGCTCCCCAAACAGAGCGAGCACTCAGCGGAGAGCAACTTTGTGTACTTTTCTTCCGCCATACACCAACTGATACGGTCTGTCTCAATCTCCAAAGAAATGTAAAGGGATGCGGGGTATACACATGAACTCAGGGGCAGGCAGAGGAGGAATGATAGAATGTCTTGCTTAAAATTCGTTTCCTGTTTCTCCGCCTGCCTGAATATACGCATGTTCTTTTTCTGTATTTATGTGCGTTGCTGAGCACCGTGTACGGACGATTTAAACCCGTCCCCTCTACCGCTGAGTTGTGTGGTATGCACATTGCACACCGCCTCCTTTTGTTTTTGGTGTGTGCGGCCCGTGCATTGATATAAACGTGCATACATGTGTTCTTTCTGCTGTTCCCTTGCCTCTTCTTTATGAGTTGGCGCGGCCATCAGGGGAAAAAGAGAGATAAAACAACAGTAAAGGAAAAAAAAAAAACAAAGAAGAAGAAAGAAAAAAAGACAAAAGAAAAAGAGAATTATTTTTCTTGCGTTGCTGTTCGCCACAAAGAAAATTGACGGACAAAAAAGGAATTCTGTAAGAAAAAAAAAGGGGAGAGAGAAAGAGAGAGAGAGGAGTGGGCAAAGCCAGAAGAGATGGCAGAGGACAAGGACGCCGTTTCCATCTGTGCTCTCTCGGAGGACCCGAAGGAAAAGAAGGGCAATGAAAAGAAGCCTCGTGAAGCGGAGCCGCAGAAGTTGAGCGAAGAAGACGAATACATTAAGATCCAAGTGGAGCTTCTTGTTACGCGGGCTGGCGACAGCAATCCAGTGCTGGCCGCTACAGCTATCCAACAGCTTATCGAGTTGCTGAGGACAAATAAAGGAGGCAGTGTGGCCTCCGTTCCTAAGCCACTAAAGTATGTACGGTCCATGTATGCACAGCTGGAAAAGGCCTTAAAGGACACAGCAGATGCTTCGGTCGCAGTTCGGCTTCATGATGTCCTTTCGTTTGTTGCCATGACGATTGAATTTCCTGATGGGAGACGCGCTTCTTTGGAGCACAAGCTTCAAGGGACCCAAGATGATTTGGCAGAATGGGGACACGAATACCTTCGCTTTCTTGCCGGCTCCATCAGCGCGGAGTGGAAGGAGCGTATTGGAAGGGCAGAGGGTGTCAACCATCTGACGGGCTTTATACGGCAAATTGTGAGTTACATGGTATCCCACCAAGATGAGCCCACAGCTGTTGATCTCTTGATGGAAGTGGAAGACATGAATGCCATACTGCCGCTCACGGACAGTCATAATTACAGGCGCATTGCCAGTTATTTGGCCGCAGTTAGCAAATACTTGACACGCCCCATGGATACAGCAGCTCTCAGAGTGGTTTATGATATTTATGTTAAGATGGAATCGTACAACGAAGCATTGTTAGTGGCACTGCAACTGGGTGATCGGGGACTTGTGAAGGGCCTTTTCGAAAAGTGCTATAGCGCTCCAG